GAGACAATGTATCTCCAACTCGCTTTGGGTGCCCATCCTGTCCCACGTCTGACGATAAAGGATTAAGCACACGGCCGAGAAAATTTTCTCATAAAAAGTTTTGATTTACAAAAAAAAAAATTATGTAGCTGAGCAGAACCCCCCCCCCCCCCTCTGGATCCGCCCCTGAAATTGTGACCTCTAGAGGGTCCATGCACAACCTTGATATACCATATGTTTACACTATTTGCGTACGAGGGGCGACCATTTTGTCCGGTAGTTCTGGTCCGATTTTCACGACATTCGAACTCAGCCAACATTAGGGTGTAACGGTGATATATTCAAACGTTTTTTTTAAAATCGAATAAAAAATTTGACCTCCAGAGGGGTCATAAGCCAAAAACGTGGTTTTTCATACAATCAAGGACCATAATTCAGGAAGGTACAATCCGATATGCGCGAATATCGAAAGGAACCAATATCTTTGGGTTATAAATGTGCATTACAAGTTTCATCAAAATCAGGCGAATATTGTGACCTCTAGAGTGTCCACAAGCTAAAAACGTGATTTGTCGTACAATCAGGGGCCATAATCCATGAAGCTATGGCCCAATACATGCCAACATCGAAAGGGACCGAGATCTTTTGGAGATAGACTTATATTTCAAGTTTCGTCAAAATCGAGTGTCCACAAACAAATTTTGGACGGACAGACGGGCGTCCGGACGGAACGGGGCGACGACAAAATACGTCCACGTGAAAATGTGGGCGTATAAAAATACCTTATCAGTGTCTGCTTATGTCAGCTTTAAAGTATCAATCAACATTTTTCTGTCCTGAAATTACTCCCAAGGTTTGCTTCACATGCAGTAAATACGACTTCACATGCAGTAAATACGACTTCGCATGCAGTAAATACGACTTCACATGCAGTAAATACGACTTCGTGTGGCACACTATATCACAATTAATATATTCTGTGTTTTATATTTTAGATAAAACGGGGCAAACAGACCTCGAAACAAACTTGACGAATTCTGGACTGGTACAAAATATTCCCAAGAAAAGATGATATGTTCAGTGAACAAGATATACAGTTGCTATAGAAACAGAACTTTCTAAGTATTAATTGTTTTGGATTGGAGGGATACAATACTATTATAAATTATCCTAAAGAGATGAAAACATCATATATATTTTCAGTTTAAAACAAGGTGTTTATAGAAACATAGAATGAGATATCAAAGAACAATGGTCGTTCTCCGTCTATTCTGGGACAAGGTTTTTAACAATTCGTTTATATATTTTCCGATTGGCTTGATGTTTTTCATATTTTGGATTATAGTCAGAAATACCAGTGTAAGGGAGACAACCTCTACAGTCACCCCTCATCATCTTCTTACAGTGACGAACACCTGCATCGGTGCTGACGTCATGTTTCGTTGTTGTCATGTAGTCCTAGCTTATAAGACGTCAATTCCCCTGCCAGTAGACCTTTTGACGTGGAAACGAAATGACGAGCTGGTAAACTCAAGCAGACGACAGTTCATAACAACCAAATACCAAGAATTAGGAACTGGTACCACAGTTCTGTCGTTCCCCGTCCAATCTTATAAAATAGATAGTACTTTAGATATATATGGTGTGCAAACTAAAGATTTTGGGCGTTATAAATGCTACGTTGCTGACAGAAAAACATTCATTCCGCTTATAACATCATCGTGTGAAGCAATGTCACGTGATTCACGCCCAACATGTGAATGTGACATCACGAGAGATTTCTATCAATATACGGAAGACCTGATTGCGGTCATTTTTAAAAACGGTGAACATGATACTTAACAAGGCTACAAAAAACAACCTTGGTATCTTAAGAATAGATGATTGCGTCATAGATGATGTTTTTAATTGTTACGAGGTAAAAGATTGGACTAGAACTGGTGATCGTATGGAAGCCACCAATCAGTTACAAGAGTGGACTGAAAGATATCGGCAAACGCGTCATCTGTCGACTAGACTTGTCTTCACCAGCAGTGACAGGAGTTCTTCTTTTCACAGTTGGTGCACAACATCTCTCATTGTTTATGTAATTTATGAATTGTTTTTTTATGACAAATTATTCTTCTTTATGATTGTTTTGATATTCTGCAATGATAATATTCGTGAAGGTCTTTTACGATGTCTGTTATAAACAAACGCCGGATTGTTTGGTTGTTTAACCACGTAGTTGGGACGCCTAAGGTTTGCCAGAAGGACGGGAGCGCCTCGAGGACTCCCTCAGAAGCGATATACGCGATATTTTACGTCGCACCCCACCCCCTTTCCAGACGCCACCACTTATTTTTATAAAATACACTCTTCAAAAAACAAGGGGATATTGAAATGCAAATACCTATGCAGGTTGTGACATGATAAATAGTCATGGACACTTAACATGCTTAGAGAGTATGTTCACAGATGAAGAACTTATCGCCCCAACAGAACCACTGATCTGCATGTGCGACACGCAATAGCGCCATACACGTGGGAGGGGTTCATTGTCAAATTTGACACTTCAAGGAAGGGTTGGTGAAAACTGCCGCGTACTGGTTTATCCTATCCATGTTTGCTTTCCTCTCGGTTCTTGCAAACAATTAACTGTTTAGCGTATCTTTGCTTTAGTGTGTTACGTTTAATTTGATCGGCAAACGTGTTCGTCGACGTCAACGAACAACACTGCAAGAATTGGCCGTGGCACTGCAGGAGTGGGTCAGATTGCCCAAAATCGTGATTGCACGGTTGATTAGGAGCCCGGGAGGAGTTCATTGTCAAATTTGACACTTCATGGAAGGGTTGATGAAAACTGCCGCGTGCTGGTTTATCCTATCCGTGTTTGCTTTCCTATCGGTTCTTACATACGATTTACTGTTTAGCGTATCTTTGTTTTAGCCTGTTACGTTTAATTTGATCGGCAGACGTGTTCGTCGACGTCAACGTCAACCGACAACACTGCAAGAATTGGCCGAGGCACTGCAGGAGTGGGTCAGATTGCCCAAAATCGTGATTGCACGGTTGATTAGGAGCATGCCACGACGAATTGCCGAATGTCTGAAGATTGGTGGAGCAATTACTCATTATTAAGACAAAAATCAAAAACGTCCATTTTCACTTTTGACAGTGTATCATTTTGCGAGTGAAATGGGACCGTCAGATAAGCCGCCCATATGAACTGTTTATGTTCATGTGTAGGCAATTGGCCTGTTATTAACATACACTGGTTACCTCTAAAAAAACAGCAGTGCATTTCCGCAGTTTTATATTGTTTCCGAATATCCCCTACTTTTTTTGAAGAGTATATATTACAAATTGTTTTATGAAACAACGTGTATTCCATATATGTATTCAAATGTTGTTCATAAATATTGCCATTGTATAGAGATGGAAGCCATACTACAATTTATACATATTTACATGTGGATTTAATTGTCTATAGTTACATAGTACATCGGTAACTAACACAAAAACTGTATACACGCGTGTTAATCGGTTGTATATGTGTATAATTTGGGAACAATTAGTGGAATATATGTGTATATATATTTAGTTAATATTCAGTGCATTTTATGAAACTACGTGTATACCATATAAATGTATTTATAGCGAATTAAAGTACATTGAGTAAATAATCAATAACCAGACTATTTCACACATATATATCTATAACTGATTAATGTTAATTGAATTAACATTTAATTAAGAATGTGTCTATTTTTTTTCAACCTATTTATTCCCAGGACAATGTAATGCAGACATGACTGATAATTCAGTTGCCAAACCCCATTTTAAGCCTTAACGTGGAAGTAGAGATAATCTGTCACACATTTTACTAAATGACCAGAAAATTCCCCATGGCAGCCATCTTGAATATTTAAATTTCCCCAAGGGTGCCAGGGTGGCATCATCCAGGTTCTCACTCTACACATATTGAAGATATATAATCCATCAATAAACATTAGGTGGATTATATTTCCAGGTTTGTCGACCTGCTGCCGGACTATGAATACATTTATTGCAGCCACGGTGAATCAGTGAGTAAGACGCTGCCTCGCCAACGCTGGGTCCTCTCTCGGAATTTTATGGTGCGGTTTGCCCGTGTCAGTAATGCACGACGGGGGTCGGGTAACTGGGGTATTTGATCCAATATACGTTTCGTTTATCTAAGTTTTGCGTCCGCTTCCACCCTAGGGTGATAATGCAGACAGCCGTACACATCCCAAAGTTAATTCTTATTTATACTACAGATTCGAAAGAAAGAGAGATGGAAATGGGGTTTAGCGTCCACTCGACACAAACCAGGTCATTTCGGGACTAACAAATGGTTTAATTTTATTTCAAAATTCGCTTGCGCGTAGGAGTCTTTAGTAGTGGGAGGAAACCGGAGGACCCGGAGAAAACCCACGAGGTTGGAAGGCGACCCTACTCCTTGTCACGTACAACCGGGGATTCGAAACCACGCCAGTTGACTCAATGACAGGCCTTATGATACAGCGCGCAGGTGCTAACCATTCGGCCATCCAACCACATAAAGAAGACTATCAGTGTCATCACCACTAGCATCACATAGAACTTGAATTATACTGGAATAGCGCCCGGAAGTTGGGGTGACCTAGTGGTCTAGAGTGTCGCGCTTCGATCTCTAGCTAACCGTTCACTTCTGGCTTGCGGTTGGGGTTTCGGAACCCGGTGGGTATACACTAGGTACTCCGGTTTCCTCGAACAGACCACTGCGCGTGCGCAAATAAAAATAAGATAACTTGTCTGCGACACCACCCTCAGTGGAAGCGTACGGTAAACATTAATAGAAGAAGAAGGGGAATGTTAGTGCTTGTCGGCGATATTGTTTCGGTTTACGCGGACGTTAAATAAAGCTATTTTACACATACATGTTAGAGTGTATGTGGGGATTTATTTACATACGAAGATTTTGGGATGTTGACATGGCCTAGTTTAACATGGGGGACAACAATGACAGATTCAACATTAACAAATCTTTAATACAAATTCAATGATACAAACATATCATTATAAACATAATATTATTGGATCGAATTATCCTGTACACAACTTGTACACTTTTGATTTAAATTTAAATAATTTAATTGTTGACTGTGATTCCAATTTATGACTGGAGAGGGACTCGAAACGATTAAATTTTCGTTACATGAGAGATGACCATAATCTTTTGCTTTCTCTAAATTTAATTTACAAAGAATAAAAAAAAAGATAATTAAAAATTTGTTTGGCATCATGTACGTACATGTACATGTAATCATAATTTTGTAACGAATCAAATTTAATTAAAATCAATAATTAAACTTTACTCAGATCAAATTGACTTCTAAAAACACATCACACGAGGAATTGTTTTGTTGGATTATACTCGTGTGACTCGACGATTTTTCAGGTATTCAGAAAGTCTGGGTAATGTCGGCACACGTTTAAAACTGGCTGCTATTTTTGGATAGTTATCTAAAGCATCCGGTTTAAATGCGAGTATATGTTCAAACATATCAAACAAGGCCAGGTCAGCCCAGGACAGCTGAAAAATAATATACATATTCATAAATATATTAACATATGGTCAATACACAGATAACGGTCAATGGCTACGGAAGACCATCAGGGCCAATGAAATAAATCATTCTGATTACCTCGTCAATTATTAAATTAAGACAATAACCCTTTGTGGCAATACTTGATCGTTTTTGGCCTTTAGTGGATCTCTACTGAAATGTCCCCGAGAAAACCATTCTGATTATGCTTGTGGCAATACTTGATCGTTTTTGGCCTTTAGTGGATCTCTACTGAAATGTCCTCGAGAAAACCATTCTGATTATGCTTGTGGCACTACTTTATCGTTTTTGGCCTTTAGTGGATCTCTACTGAAATGTCCCCGAGAAAACCATTCTGATTATGCTTGTGGCACTACTTTATCGTTTTTGGCCTTTACTGGATCTCTACTGAAATGTCCTCGAGAAAACCATTCTGATTATGCTTGTGGCAGTACTTGATCGTTTTTGGCCTTTAGTGGATCTCTACTGAAATGTCCTCGAGAAAACCATTCTGATTATGCTTGTGGCACTACGTTATCGTTATTGGCCGTTGGTGGATCTGTACTGAAATGTCCCCGAGAAAACCATTCTGATTATGCTTGTGGCAATACTTTATCGTTTTTGGCCGTTGGTGGATCTGTACTGAAATGTCCCAGAGAAAAACCATTCTGATTATGCTTGTGGCAATACGTTATCGTTATTGGCCGTTGGTGGATCTGTACTGAAATGTCCCCGAGAAAACCATTCTGATTATGCTTGTGGCAATACTTTATCGTTTTTGGCCGTTAGTGGATCTCTACTGAAATGTCTCCGGTGAATCTGGTGCTTGATCAAGCCCGATCTCCAGTTGTTATGTTAGGGGTACCGTCCCCTTGGCTGACAACTAAAATATTGCCTGTACGTAAAAGAACCCTTGCAATGAAATGGGGTTTAAAGTTACAATTTCATATTTTCTAAGAAAGTCAAAACATAATTATTTCTATGTCTTTTGCTCAATAGGTTGTCAACTCACTATTATACGATCATAGGTGTCATTCTCACACTTAAAACTCATTTACACCGGAAATAACAACACAATTACCTCCCTTTTTTCTATTCTCCACCATGGAGTAGCTATTCTCAAACGTTTGAATTTGAAGAGGAAAATGATATTTTTGCCAATTTTCAACTGACAATAGTGAATTATAGGATTAATAGGATTATTCTTTAACAAGGTAGGACTGTTTATAGATACCACCTATTTTAAGGCTTTATTTTAATAAATTTTAAAAATATAACGTAAAAATATGAAATTGCAACTTTAATGTCCTACTGTTCTGCGACGACTGAGACAAGGAAGATGGACATACGACATACAAGTTGTTATGGGTGGCACTACGGCCTCCTCTTATTTCGGGTTCCGCCTGTTAACGTGCAAGCAAATGTGTACACGGGACCTCGGCTTTATGTAGTATCTGTACAACTATACATTAACCCTGCCATGCTCTCCGTCCTACATCACTGACATGTGGGGAACCACTCCGTAAAATACCGATGAACTTTCTCGGTCAAAACCAAGACCTCTTGAAGGATGAAATTCGATTAACAGAGAGCGGAAACAAAATTCTCCCCCACCCCGCCCACTATGTCCCTGCTCTAATCTGATATTAACGGCCCGATGCGGCATTTTAAGCAATAGGAATTACTTACAAACTTCAATATTGTGACGGTTGAATTGGTATTTTGATTTTTGATAGTTAAATAATCAATCGGAGCATGTATAAACGTGGAGAAATTTGATATTTTAGCGACAAATATCAATGGCTATACAAATTTAAATCGTATTTTTGCTGACTTTTCAAACATCAATATACCCTCCAAATCAATGTAGATAATTGAAATATCAAACATACTTACAGAAGAAATAAACCAGTTTCTCACCTTATCACCAACATAATATCTCGTATATCGTATAATAAGTAATATAAAACGATATAATGTAACAACCTTCAAATCAAGGGAAATAACTCACCTTATCAGCAACAAGGGAAGTAACTCACCTTATCACCATCAAGGGAAGTAACTCACCTTATTACCGACAAGGGAAGTAACTCACCTTATCACCAACAAGGGAAGTAACCCGCCTTATTACCAACAAGGGAAGTAACTCACCTTATCACCAACAAGGGCAGTAACTCACCGTATCACCAACGAGGGAAGTAACCCACCTTATTACCGACAAGGGAAATAACTCACCTTATCACCAACAAGGGAAGTAACTCACCTTATCGCCAACAAGGAAGTAACTCACCTTATCGCCAACAAGGAAGTAACCCACCCTATTACCGACATGGGAATCAACTCACTTTATCACCAACAAGGGAAGTAACTCACCTTATCACCAACAAGGGAAGTAACTCACCTTATTACCGACAAGGGAATCAACTCACCTTATCACCAACAAGGGAGTAACTCACCTTATTACCGACAAGGGAATCAACTCACCTTATCAACAACAAGGGAAATAACTCACCTTATCACCAACCAGAAAATCTTCGGTACATTTATTTTCCTGAGCATGTTTTTCAATTAAATTCAAAGCAGATGGAAGTTGTTCCTCAAGAAATTGCTTCTGTGCTACTGCCTGAAACACATAAAAACAAATAGAAAGTCGTTGACTCTCTGTAAGATCTCATACACGGGGTAATCTCGTTAAGGCGAGGTCAGGCTTAAGTTGGCAGTTTCACAGGCCCCACCCTGTCATTGGTTTGTATACAGTGAACAAATTTGTATCATTCTAAACAAATTCGTAACATTCTAAACAATTGTGTATCATTCTAAACAAATTCGTATAATTATAAACAAATCTGTATCAATCTTAAATTCGTATCCTTGTTAAGAAATTCGTATCCTTGTTAACAAATTCTTATCATTTTAAACAAATTCTTATCATTCTAAACAAATCCCTTTCATTCTAAAAACAAAATTTCGTATAATTCTAAAAACAAAATTTCGTATCATTCTAAACAAATTCCTTTCATTCTAGATAAATTGCCAACTGCTTGAAATATTAACGAATAAGTGGCATTCAGTGTTGAACATACCTTGATTTCTTCATCTTTCTGAAACATAAAACCTGCTAAAAGTTCTCGTATCTGAATGATTCTGTCTACTATTGTGTCTGTTAATAACTTCTCATAGTTGTCTCTACCATCCAGACCTAAAATATACAATACATAATATACAATAGTTGTTTTTACCATCCAGACCTAAAATATACTATACATAATATACATTGGTTGTATCTATCATCCAGACCTAAACTACATAATATACAATAGTTGTTTCTACCATCCAGACCTAAAATATACTATACATAATATACAATAGTTGTTTCTACCATCCAGCCCTAAACTACATAATATACAATAGTTGTTTCTAACATCCAGACCTAAAATATACGATACATAATATACAATTGTTGTTTCTACCATCCAGACACATAAAATAAACGCTAAATAATAATGTCTACCATCCAGACCTAAAAGGATCATACTCGACCTGCTTGATCAAAATTTAATATCAATTTCCTCATTTCATTTTAAACAAAAACCGTCCAGTGCAGCCTGTATTTCATTTTGGAAGTCTCGCAGCACCAGTTCTAAACCACCCAGTTGTAACATTTAAGCACAGCCTATTGCAACTTTGATTTCGCATTGATAGATTCGCAGCATCAGTCCTAAATTATCCATAAGTAAACCGTATTATTGTTTTCATTATTTCTCCACAAAGCCATATTTTAGACCTGTTCTGGTCGAATATCACCATCGCGTTCAACAAGTTGGGCGATATGCCTATGACTCCGTGGTCTGATTTGTGGTTTGAGGTGTCTGTATAGTGAGTCCTGTCCATAAGCTGGTCTTGTTCTATTGTTGTTTGTATCTGGTGAGCACCCCCCCCCCCCACCTTGACTTACTATATACCAACAACAACATCGCGGATAGAATACTTACCAAATTCACGGGCCAAATATCTGGCAATTACCACACTCTCCCCAAACAACTGACCATCAATTTCTAGAACAGGTAGAGTTCCACCAGGCATTGCTGTAATACAAAATTCAATTATGTTTTTTTTTAAACAATACGTATAATATCTATGTTACATAAAATTATGATATCGGTATCGACCCTACCCCTTGTCACATAGAACTATGATATCGACCCTACCTCTTGTCGCATAGAATTATGGTATCGACCCTACTACTTGTAACATACAACTATCGTATAGACCCCACTCCTTGTCACATACATTTATAGTACCAAGCCAACTATGGATACCGACCTTACTCCACATCACACACACTTCAGGAACAGCTGGATGTCCACATGATACTGACGGCCGTAGTAAGGAATAGCTGGACGCCCGCATGATACTGACGACCGCAGCAGGGTAGAGCTGGACGTCCGCATGATACTGACGACCGCAGCAGGGTACAGCTGGACGTCCGCATGATACTGACGGCCGCAACAAGGAACAGCTGGATGTCCACATGATACTGACGATCGTAGTAAGGGGTGCGGATGCGATACTGGCGGTTGTATTGAGAAGTGTAGGATAACGCACGAGACTTCGGTTATGCTGGGGAAAGAAAGACTGAAGAAAATAACCCGAGAAAAAGAAAAACCGAGGCAGGCAGGCCGAGGTTTTTCTGTCGAGGGTTTTTTCAGAAGTCTTTCTTCCCCCAGCATAACCGAAGTCGAGGACTTTATCTTGCTTATAAACCGTCTATGTTTACATGTACGCAAAATGAGAATATCCCAGAATTCCCATAAGAAAAACCTTAGATCATGTTTTCTTATGGAAAAAACCCTACCCTGGAAGAATAACCCTTTACTGGTTTAAAGAAAAACTTTCAGAAGAATAACCCCAAATTTCCCTGTATATATACAAAGCCGCCCCGACTTTCAGACCTCAAGTTATTCCGGGCATAGAATATACCCCAAAGATCAAAGAGATTTACCGTTACAGGTTTATAAACAGAAATAAGGAATAGTTTGATGTTCGACTGATGGCGACGACCGTAGCAATGGATGTGGGCGTGATCCTGACGGCAGCATGATAGAACACGACCGTTGTATATACGACCCTGTTGATAGTAGTTAGGGACATCAACTGGTCCTGATAACAGACAGAAGGTGGATCTACACAAACACAGTAGATAACATGTAGCTTTATTTACTGAACAATATCAACACGTTTAAATATTTGACCAGTCAGGGATCAATATAGGTCAAGAGAAATATCTGTGACTATAATTTAATATGTATTGGTTATATCAATTCACCATATGCTGTGAATTATACATTATACCCATACTTTTTCTCGCCTCGGAGCCCCACTCAAAAAAGAGACGGTGTATCAACCCATACACCTTGAAAACAAGGTATATAACTATTACATATAATATAATATATTTTAAAATAGTTCACAATTCCAGGGAAATTGTTATGAATTGTACAATACAATACAATTTAAAACAGGTCACAATACTAGGGAAATATAATATTTTTCTGTTCATATAAATTTATCAATTGCCGTAGATTATATAATTTAAAAATTAAAACGTTTTTGTTGTTTGTCAGATTTATATTGCCCCATTCTTGTTCCAATAAATTAACGGTTCCCTACGACGTCTCCTCTTTAAACACTCCCCCGTCTTCATTAGCCCAGTCGAAGAAGGACAGTAGGACGTAAAAACCCATTTCATGTCATTTCATTTAAAGATTTACAAATAACTAAAATACGTTCAGTGCATACCAGCTGTTACCGAAGTTAAAATGAAAGATTACTAGTTTCAAAAGCGGCTGATAAATCTAATATACCGCGGATGTCAAATTTATAATATAGTTTAAATCTGTCGATCAACAGAGTGCCGCGGTGGCTCAGTGACTAAGACGTTGGTTTACTACGCTGATGGTCCAGGTGTTGCCCGAGAACGTTCATAAGGATTTTCCGGCGTGGTTCCCACTTGTCAGTGGTGCAGGAAAGGGTGTCTGGTAAGGAACAACGTATAGCCGTTCCGAGGTGGGGGTGCCCGAATGGTTAGCGCGCGTTGTATCATAAGGTCTGTCATTGAGTCAACTGGCGTGGTTTCGATTCCCCGGTTATATGTGACAAGGAGTAGGGTCGCCTGTTCAACCTCGTTGGTTTTCTCCGAGTCCTCCGGTTTCCTCCCACTGTTAAAGACCCCTACACGCAAGCGAATTATTAAAATAAAACCGAACAATATGTTAGTCCCGAAATCACCTAGTTTGTGTCGAGTAGACGTTAAGCCCCATTTCTCTCTCGTTCCGATGTAAAGGAAGCCCGAGGTCCCGTGTACACATTCGTATGCATATTTCATTTCATGTCGACCAACAACTTTATAGTCTGCAGTCAATGAATTAACCCACTTTTACAATATAATATACGACTATGTAATATCGACACAATCAATGAATCAAGTCAACAATTCAATATGTCAACTAATCATTTTTACTCTCTACACGACTCTATAGAAATACACACCTAGTTTTACAGTGGTATAAACATTGTACAAAAGATTAGAAATGTAGTTTTGAAGGGTACGGGTTGTCATAAAGGCAAACGCTGAACAAGTAATGGTGATTTGATACACCGTGATTCATTCAAACTTCGATAATACCTTAGCGCTAAGCAAAACATTTAATTCAACAAATGAAATGAAATGAAATGGGGTTTAACGTCCTACTGTTCTGCTCCCAACCTGGGCTAATGAAGACGGGCATACGCCATACAGTGTGCTATGAGGGAAATTTTGCCCGGGCAGCGGCACTACGACCTACTCTTATATCGAATTCCAACTTCCAAGGGATCTTTTATGTGCATTCCAATGTATACACGGGACCTCGGTTTTTCGTCTCATCCGAATGACTAGACAGCTGTCCTTGTCAGGCCCTCCGTCCTGCATCACTGACAAGGGGAAACCACGCCGGAAAATCTGGATGAACTTTCTCGGCCAATGCAGGGATCGAACACCCGACCTCCAGGCTAGCGATCCAGCGTCTTAACCACCTAGCCACCGTGGTTCCCCTTTAATTCAACAAGGTAACAAATGAAAGGAGTGGATGTTAACATACGGTGATATGGACATGTGTGCATATACAGTGTGGGATAACAAGAGTGGGTCCAGAGATCATGTGCGCACAACGCACAACAGGGGGTTCGGGTGGCCTTCCCCGGTAAATATCGAAAACTAGAAGACCTGGGGATCGTGCATTTTTCAGTAATGCAGGACGGGGGAGGAGGTGGGGCTACTAAGGACAGTGTCTGATCGTTCGGATATAATTAAAAACGTGGCGTGCACGTAAAAGATAATTAGAATTCGATATTAGAATAGGCGGCAGTGCGCTGTACGGGCAAATTTTCCTCATAGCACACTGTATGGCGTATGCCTATCTTTATTAGCCCAGTCGGGGCAGAAAAGTAGGACGTTAAACCCCATTTCATTTCATTTCCCGCCCTAAACACACGACTAGAACGTTGGTAAACCCACACGAGACATCATCAACAATCTTTTACTCACTTGGTTTCTTGGCGTCCCACTCTGGTCCATGTCGTTCCACTAGAACGTCTTCATAATCAACCCCAGCAGCTACAAACATCAATCTGGGAAACTCCCCACGAGCACGGAGATCCTTAAACCAGTGATATTTGTACTTGTGTGGCATGCTGAATGACCAAACAATTATTTCCCTGTGTCTAGATTAACTGACTATGATCTTCTATCTGTCGTGTCCAGACCAAGATCTCCGTTAACAAGAACGTGGTGTCCAAGAATACGTTAAATACTATTACAATGTTAAAGGCCCACTTGGACTATGTACCGTGGTGAACGCCCACGTGGACTATATACTGAGTTGTAGTATGACTATGCGTTTTATATATAGAGCGCCCCGTCCTGTATGTTTACCGACAGTTGTATTATTGACAGTGAGTGTTGTGTGGTTAGTAACGTATATATTCTATATTACAGATAGGTGAATCTCTTTTGATATTGTTAAATATCACCGTGATCCTTATTCTTCTCTGTGGCGCAGGATGGAGTGCCTGACAATGACAACTGTCTAGTCGTTCGGATGGGACTAGAAACCGAAGTCTACACATTGGCGTGCACGTAAAAAAACACTTGGCAGTTTGAATTCGATATAACAGTAGGCCGAAGCGCCCCTGTCCGAGCATGTGCCTACTTCATTAGCCCAGTTGGAGCAGAACAGTAGGATATTAAACACCATTTCCTTTATTGTACTCTATAGATGAAAAGTGGGTGGGGGGGGGGGGGCTAGCGCGTGCACTTTAGATCAGAAGGTCTGTCATTGAGTCAAGTAGAGTGGTTTCGATTCACCGCTTGTACGTGACAAGGGGTTGGGTCGCCTGTCCAACCTCGTGAGTTTTCTTCGTGTCCTCCAGTTTCTCCCCACTGCCAAAGACCCCTACACGCTAGCGCTTTATTAAATTAGATCAAAATCAATGTTAATTTGAGTGGACGTTAGACCACATTCCCATCTCTCTCTCTCTCCCTCCCTCTCTCTCTCTCACACACACAAACACTCACTTTCTCTCTCTCTCTCTCTCTCTCTCACTCTCAATGTTATTTATATATCTAGGTCTCCTTATTGTACTCTATTTTAAGCGCTATCATATTTCATGATTTGTATACAAATCAAAGTCCCGTATAATTTTCTAGGTAGGGTTATAACGATAAATATGGGGCTGAAAGTCCACCTACTACTCGTGAGCTTGCGTTTTAAGCGTACCTAGTTATGTGTGTCGGTTTAATGGACAGACTAAAAAATCCAAATGGACAGATTGACACAATCGTATGGACAGGCTGAAAGATCCAAATGGACATACCAGAAGATCCGAAAGGACAGACTGAAAGATCTAAGTGGACAGATGAAAAATTCCGAAAGGACAGACTGAAAGATTCGAATGGGTAGATTGAAAGATCCGAATGGAAAGACCCGAATGGGCGAACTGAAAGTTCCGAATGGACAAATTTAAAGATGACAGATTGAACGATCCGAATGGACAGATCCCAACAGGCAAACTGAAAGAACGGAATGGACAGATTAAAAGAACCGAATGGACAAACTGAAAGATACAAATTGACAGACTGGACGACTCGACGACTCGATTGACATCGAGTTAACCATTCGGTCACTGGATGATTCGAATGGACAGATTAGAGAGACATGAATGGACGGACTAAAAGATCCGAATGAGATGTTAAACTTTATATTGACTGCCAAACAGAGCCCAAGAAATGAGCTGTTAAACTTTATATTGATTGCCAAACAGAGCCCAAGAAATGTTTATAATTTTGTTGAAAACATAAAAGTATTACTGCCAAGCGATCCCATTTCAGGAAACCCATTAAATATGTATTCCCATGTTCTAATCGGTATGACGGAGAGATCCTTCGGATATTACAAGGTTCTTTAAATCTTTAGCACTGGAAACTTATAATTACTATCTACATACACTTACAAGACTACGGATAACCGACTACTTCCTAATGCTACTAAGTCGGATAGACCTAAATGACTGATGTATCATTCGTTCGTTTGTTTCTAGAGTTTTACGTCCACTTCCACCTAGGATGATATCGTACAATCGGATATTTATATGGAATTCCTTCTAATCACTTGTCGAGATCAAGTGTTGACATAATCGTAATAAAGAAATAAAACAATGGTTAATAAAACAATTAATAGATTAATCATACGAATGACATGTACACGAGGCAGGCCGTATTGGCAGTTACTTTCTGTCTATAAAAGTTTTATAAACAATAAGGGATTATAATAATTTAATATGTCATTAGCATTACATAACATTTCATCCTTGGCTAGTCACCTTTATATAGCACACCTTTAATTAATGTTTTGAAGGAATGGAATAGTTATTGTCCCAAGAGTTTAAATAAATTTTAAACATTGGAATTTCGCATTGTGTGTTTAATGTAAAGAAAGGAATTATACAAATCATTTATTTACTATTTAAGCCACCTGGATGCTTTAATAAAAATGAAATGAAATGGGGTTTAACGTCCTACTGTTCTGCTCCTAACCTGGGCTAATGAAGACGGGCATACGCCATACAGTGTGCTATGAGGGAAATTTTGCCCGGGCAGCCGCGCTACGGCCTACTCTTATATCGAATTCCAACTGCCAAGGGATCTTTTACGTGCACGCCAATGTGTACACGGGACCTCGGTTTTTCGTCCCATCCAAACTACTAGACAGCTGTCCTTGTCAGGCCCTCCGTAGGATAGGGAACTACATATCTAGTTACAAAAGGGAACTATGGTTGTAGGACAGTATGGCGGATCAGGCTGCTGCATGATTTAATATAACAATATGCAAAGGGGAAAATAATGACAAAATAAAGGAATAGGGACCTACATACACAACCATTATTAACAATGACCGTGCACATCAATCAATTTAATTTAACCTGTGTTTAAAAATTTATTGATTCCTATAAATAGTTCAATTTGTCTGATTTTTTATTTATTTATTTTTTTTGTGTGTGTGTGGGTGTGTGTGTGGGTGTGTATGTGTGTGAAATAGCTTTATTTAACGTCCGCTTCCACTGAAGTGATATCGCCGACAAGTAATTTTATTTACAAAGTGATTAGCGTAAAAAAAATAACAGATTAATGAAAAAATATATATATACATGTACTCTTCAAAAAAAGTAGGGGATATTCAGAAACAATACAAAACTGCGGAAATGCACTGCGGGTTTTATTAAAGGTAACCAGTGTATGTTAATAACAGGCCAATTGCCTACACATGAACATAAACAGTTTATATGGGCGGCTTATCTGACCTCCCCATTTCACTCAAAAGTGAGAATGGACGTTTTTGATTTTTGTCTTAATAATGAGTAATTATTCCCCCAATCCTCAGACATTCAGCAATTCGTCGTGGCATGCTCCTAATCAACCGTCCAATTACGATTTGGGGCAATCTGACCCACTCCTCTTGCAGTGCCACGGCCAATTCTTGCAGTGTTGTCGGTTGACGTTGCATGGCGTCGACGAACACGTCTCCCGATCAAATTAAACGTAACGCACTAAAGCAAAGATACGCTAAACAGTAAATCTTATGCAAGAACCGATAGGAAAGCAAACATGTATAGATAAACCAGCACGCGGCAGTTTTCATCAACCCTTCCTTAAAGTGTGAAATTTGACAATGAACCCCTCCGACGTGTATTGCGTGTCGCACGAACAGCCCAGGGGTTCTGTTGGGGCGATAAGTTCTTCATCTGTGAACATACTCTCAAAGCATGTCAAGTGTCCATGACTTTTTATCATATCACAACCTGTATAGGTATTTGCATTTCAATATCCCCCAACTTTTTTGAAGAGTATATATGTACACAGTAAAACAAATGAAACAATCAGGGAAGGGCGATATACATTCAACATACTTTCTTCCATTTGTTAGGCCTTCTCCTTCAGTTTGGTTGTTATTTCTGACTTTGTTTTTGATATTCGTTCCTGTGTTATTGGTTCTCAGAAGAAAGAATTCAGCACCTGAAACTACAGAGTAAAGAGTGAATATGTGCTTACAATGGATATTTTGTTTTGTTTCGTCTAATAAATCTTTCGGAGGGGGGGGGGCAGAATGGGTGCTAAAGGGAAATTTAACTGATAATAATTTGACCGTGTAAAACGTTGGTCTTATAATCATTTTTATACATATATACTTAATAAAATCATTTTTTACGCGTCGCCCTTTGGTTAATCAAATGCCAGACAGTTGATGCTTCCCTCTAGGGGAGATTTTTACGTTCCGCTTGGCTTTTTTAGCATATTAATTTCGTGGGACAGAACGGTTGGCGCTTTCCTCTATGGGACATTTTTACGCACCGCCCTGTTATGTATTTCAAATGATTAGTTAAGTTGCCAGGTGGTTTACGCTTCCCTCCCGGACATTTCCACTGAGCATATGATTATATGCGCCTTGTCAGTTCTATTCTATCATGTCCCAAATAAGCTAAGACGTCCAGTATCTGTCGTCTGGGTCTGGCAATATGAGCGTTAATCCTTTGCAATTTGTCACTTATTGCTTGGTGTTTCTTTCTTACAAGATTACAATCAACTATAGTAAATGTAAAAAAAAAAAATAATGTGAAGTGGTAGCGATGTTTCCACGTGCGTATTTGATCGGTGTGTATGTGTAGTCTTTGACTACGTCTATGGTTGTGATTCCCCGTGGTGTGTAAGTGGTGATAAGAATATTACCCTTCGTATGTCCTGTAATGGGGCAACGTGTTTACCGTGCGTTGCGAACTCTGTCGGTGGAGAGTAGAATCCTGGTTATTGAGTGGGGATTTGGCATGCGAGCCCTTTCTCTGCAACACATTACTTTGGCCTATGATTCACCTAGACGGGGGGTCAGAGTGGCCACTCTGGAGATTGTAGGCTCCCAATTTAATGCTTTGTTGTTTATTCACTCAGCATTTTCACCCTTTAAAGTTTTAACGTAACGTGTATAGGATTTAATGTATTCCTCAACAGACTTATGTAATGAAATGTGGGTTAACGTCCCAGTTTTCTGCACAAGCCTGTCATTATTGTGGGAGCGTACGTTAAACGACCAGGACAGAAATAATTAAGACGGACATCCATCGAATTCAAATGGGGCCTCGATTTTTCGTCTCATCCGAACAACTAGACGTTGTTCCTGGCCAATCCTTTCGATCTGCATGAATGACAAGGGGAAACCAGACTGTTAATTTCCGAGGAATGTTGGCTGTCTACACCGGGATTGAACTCAATAGCTCCTGATTTGTCAGCCAGTGTTCTACTCACTGAGCCACCGGGGCCCCCAATTCGAAACGCAGCTTCCATTTGGAAAATCTGATTCATGTGGTTTTTTAATTATTTTTCAGTTTTCTGCCACTGCATAAGAAAATTTAAAACGGTGGCGTTTATATATTTGAATATACATACAATTGTGGTAATAAGTTATATTTGTGTTTTAATATTTCAGATCCAAGATTTATTGTATTTCTTAGTACCATTAAAGGAACATTTGAAGAGGTCAAGCAAACTTGTTTAGATAGAGGTTATCGCATACCTATGATTCCCACCGCCGACGATAAGTTGGCGCTAAAACACTTCATCTTACATCACCCCATGTAAGTTGATTTCTTGTTCCCAGTTTTTATTTCATCACGTACCCTTTACTTCATGGGACTAAAATTATAAACGAAATTTTTGAAAAGGTTCACGAATTTCTCGACATCTCCAAAAGAATTATTAATCATTATTATAGTGAAGCCCATGGTACATAAATTAAACGTTAATTTTTTTTGGTGACCCAAACAAGTGCTTGCTTTATGAATTTTCAGTTGTCTTTTAGGAGCGACCCGAACTATTTATTATATTTTCTCGGATGATAAATCATTATGTTTCAGCACTAGAGATGTATTTCTAGGGACAGAGAAAACTCCAGCTGGTAACTATCAGTGGTTAGATGGTGTAGATGTCGAATACTATGCTTGGAAAGACATAGCCAATTGTCCTCTAAACATCAACATTCAGCATGATGGCTTCCATTGTGGAGAGGATGTACCCAGACCATATATCTGCGAACATAATGAATCAAGTATGTTACTTCTTTATCATCAACCCCGGCCTCTTTGTTTGGTTGTTGTCCATTGTCATAATCACCACTTAGCTTTCTTTAGTTTTCTTTTTAAAATGTCTTGCTAAATCCCCCCACCAAACGTCCCCACTTATTATACTGATCCATTTCAAACTTCTACCGTCTTGGTCCTTCTTGTACCCGTCTTTCCAATTCTTTTTCACATTCATGGCTTTATAACTAATGTCCTTTCCCCGCCATTCTTCATCTTGATAATTGTGAGCTGACAATGTTGACCGCTGTATAGCCAGTGTAAAGATTACATAGCACTTTACGCCGTCGCCCACCAAATAATGTTTCTTTTCTTATCGAATTAATTTCCAGGCCTTTCAATTCCATTTCAACCTTTACTTCCGCCATCGTGTTTATATTTTAGCCAAATTCCCGTTCTGCGGATCGGCTCCCCCTTACATAACTTCTAGTCGCTTCGAATCCCACCCCATTCTCAACTTTTGGTCGTTACTATACGGTCGGTGGTGTTTGTTCCTCTACTTTGAGAAATTCCGATTTCAGGGTCTAAACGTACGACTCACGGTGTGAACTTTAAGTTCGTCGCTGCATTGACTGAACGGGAAATAGCATAAACATTTAAAAGTTTTATTTCTGAAAGTTTACGTCGATTGTAGTAATCACGATTAGACACATTGTTTTGGATTTGTTTAACGGGTTTATAAAATAATTTCTGTTTCAGTGAGCTCCCAGCAGCCTTTCGCCACATTGATTTCCACAACGGTCAACATCCCAGCTGTACCTCTACAAGAACATGATGTTATGATAATAACACAATGTGCTATGCTATGTAATGCTAACATACAATGTTATTATTTTACATTTAAATTACAACAATGTAAACTGTATGGTAACCTTGACTACATAGTGACCGGAAGTGGTGACCATGCATTCCTTGTGTGTCCAGAATGATCTAATCAATTATATGTAATTGTACAAATAGAGGAGTACTATGTATGTTCCTCAATCCTGTTCAATCTTTCAGTAAAAAATTGTTTACCAAAATATGGAATTTATTTAGGTTAAGTGTACATGGAGTCAACTCAATATTCATATCTTTGTAGATCACATCTCAGCTCACCGAATACAAATCTCTGTCGTCTTCAGAGACAAGATACTAGACATACCAATAAAAATTACGAAACGCGAGCTTTCTTCATTATTGCCACTTTAAAATGACCTGGTTTGTGTTGAGTGGACGTTAAAGCCCATCTCTCTCTCTCTCTCTCTCTCTCTCTCTCTCCCTCTCTCTAGATCTCTCTCTCTCTATCTCTCCCTCTCTCTCTATCTCTCTCTATCTCTCTCTCTCTCTATCTCTCTCCTCTCTCCCCCTCTCTCTCTCTATCTCTCTCTATCTCTCTCTCTCCTCTCTCTCTCTCTCTCTCGCTCTCTCGCTTGGCATTACCGATCCACAGTCAAATCTGCCATTCACCATGTGACATTTCTACACAACACAAATATATAAATGTGATATCATAAAACCAAATAATCAAGTTTCCAATAAACCTACTCCCAAATAAAGTTTTTGTGTTCTGTTAAATGAGAAACGCTATAAATATTTCTTCTTGGTCAAAGTTTTGTGCAATCTGATCATAAGGGGTTGTGCCTCGCGTGACATGCATTTGCAGTGCGTTCATGGGTAATGATACTAATCCCCCATTAGAATATTGGAATATGACTTATACATGTTTGTACATAAAGCTAAATTGTTCAGCTGTGGCATCATTTTGTTACAATGTGATACACTGAGATTTTGTTTGTGACTTGTGTGACATGAAAAGGTGACTTGTGTGACAAATAGAAATAACTCGGATATTTCAATTTAATCAACTAATTGTTTTACTGTATTTCATCGTCAAAACAAACAAGAATTGATTTGCTCAAATGTAAATTTCAATAAAAAATCATAAAATTCATTGTCTCACACACACACCCATACGTCTCTCCGAACACATTTCATACAAGATCAGCATGTTCAAAACTATTTCATTAAATGTCAAGTATATTCAAAAATGTCACGCCTTCGACAATATTCAAACGAAAACATTGTTAAAAAGACAGGAGAGAGAGAGAGTTTAAAGTCCATTCAACACAAACTAGGTCATTTCAGGGCTAACATATGGGTCAATTTTATTTCAATAATTCGCTTTAGCAGTGGGAGGGAAGGGGGACCGGAGGCCCCGGAGAAAAACCAACGAGGTTGGACAGGCGACCCTACTTCTTGTCACGTTAAAAAGGAAGATAAAGTAGAACAATAAGCGTGAACTGTGACTCGCGTGACACGACTTTAACCACTGGAAAAGGGGTCTAGCTTTACATAAATACATTCAGATATTCAGTTTCCTATGCTTACTCATCGTGCATATTTGTCAAATAATAAAGTTATTTTAAAAGGGTGCTATAAAACAAATATACTCACTTTTGTGACTTGAGTGGCCATCAAAATGAGGTGGTTTTCAGATCCAGAAAAATTGGTGATCGGCATCACTCATCGACAAATTTCTTTTCCTGAGTCAAAGGTGACTGTTTTGGTCTAATCTAGTCAAAATTGACCCAGATCATAACAGAATGTTCAAGGGATCCATTGCATAATTTAAAGGCGTGATATAAGGATACAAATGGTGCTTTAAAAACAAGGTACTTTTTGTGATTTTAATATTTGGTTTGATATTCTGTTAGCGTGGAATGGCTGATATGGTCTTTTACACGAGGCTAGTTGGCTTTACAGTAGCTGTACCTTGTGAACACTCAAACGACAAAAGTTAACATCTGATCTACATGAATTTTGTGTGCATTAATACATTACTAAGTGAAGAATCCTATTTAATTTCAACAATATAGTCCTATCTAACAAATAGAAAACGGCGAGTTTGCATAGGAGGATGAATACTTCAAGAAATTCCCCTGCTTTGTGGTTTCCCACAGGATTCATTTTTGGCCCCGGTGTTATTTATCATGTTCACCAAACCATTGAATAAAATCGCACAGAAATAGGGTCTTAGTATCCAGTTTTTTTGTCGCCGACACACAGTCGCAGATTTGGAGACATGTCTGCAAGAAATCCATAACTGGATGGCCCTTCATTTTCTACGGCTAAACCCTTATCAACTATAAAAACTAGGAAAGATTAAAACTTATTTAAGCTCTGGAAACCTCGAACTTTTGATTCATGCTGTAATAACAACTAAATTGGATTATCATAACGCTCTACTGCATGGGCTTTCCAAATCATAAATTCAACGTCTGCAACATGGTCAGAATTCGGCTCCACGTCTACTTACTAGAAAATTGCTTATATCACCAAAATACTGAAAGCCCTTCACTGGCTTCCTGTACATCAAAGAATGCTATTTAAAATACTCGTGTTGACATACAAAGCTATTAACAACTCTGTTCCATCCTACATCTTCAGATTATATTCCAGGAAAATGTATACGATCTACTTCAAAACATATCTTAATTGTACGATCGACGAGCTTAGAAATGATCGAACGTTCATTCCAGTACTATTCAGCTCATTTGTGGAATTCACTACCCCTTCATATTAGAGAATCAACGTCCGTCTGCATTTTCAAAACAAGACTGACAACTCACCTGTTCATACAACACTAGGGTTGAAATGAAACCAAAATGTATAACTTTGCAAGCGCATTTGGAACTCCTAATACGAGTATTTATTGCGCTATATCAATTTGGATGTTATGTTATCTTATATTCTACGGGGGCGATCAGTGTTACAGACATTATTTTTTACAATGGGGTAGGACTGTGAATGGCACCATGGATTTGACCCCCCCCCCCCCCATTCACAGCTTGCTTTTAGATCCGCTACTGAACTCGTACTATTGGCACGAGGGTGTTTTCACTCAAAAACACGTAACGGTCTACAAGTTTCTGTGAATCCAGACCCGGCACATTGGTAATTTATGGAATTTCAATGGATCGTTTAAGGTGAATGTGGCGATTTGGGACTATAGACTAGACATGATAAAAGTTCGAAGTTCACACAGGGAAAGGTCACACAGCAATAACTTGTTTGTTATCGTATATGAAGACTGCTGATTAAATTGTTTGTTGGTGTGTTTATATTGGGTGCTGAGAATCACTCCGTTATTACAAATATTTTATATAAGAAGTGTGACGTGTGCTGCGTTACAGGTAGGCTATAAATACTGTTAATATTAAGTTGTTAAGCTGTTTGTATTTACTTGATCTACAAAAGTTCAGCTGTTCTTATATAGGTCATCACTTACAGTATACTATCCTATAGTTAAACATACTGGATATACTAGTTTATAGCAATATACACTGGGGATACTAGTCTATAATAATAATCACTGGATACACTAGTCTATTATATAATAAACCCTGGATATCCTAGACTATAGAAATATACACCGTATATATAAATACTATAATAATGGGCACTGAACATCAGACATGTGTCATGTGGGTAGGGAATGTTAATTCTCCTACACTCAAAGAATAAACAAACATACCAAGTATTGCCGCCATTTTGGTCTCACTTCACTCACTCCTGTACATGTAGAAAGGGTGGTAATTTTTACCGCCGACCACCGCCGACCAATACTTTTACCGCCGACCGTCGTGAAATTACCGCCGACCAAATACTTTTTACCGCCGACCGTAATATAATTACCGCCGACCAAATACTTGTTACCGCCGACCAAATGCTTAATGATTCCTTGTTACCGCCGACTATATAAAATTAATTAAATTATTAGTGACAAATAAATAGATTTGGTTAAATACACAGAGTTTGATAAAAATATAGATTTTATTATATTTAAATATGGTCGACAACCCTAACCCTAACTCTCGCACTAATAGAAGATAGGCCTAAAATGTTATTTATTTATAACCAGTAGCTGAAACAATCTTGATATTTTTTTTATTTGCCCTTCAATATCTAAATTGTAGTTTGTCCTTCCATATTCTTTAAAATATATATGAATGTTTTTCGACAGTTGTACGTGATTACACCTCAAATAAAAAATAACATTCTTGTATTCTTTTTTATAAAAAAAAACCCGTAAAATAGTCTGCGGTAACAAGGAATCATTAAGCATTTGGTCGGCGGTAACAAGTATTTGGTCGGCGGTAATTATATTACGGTCGAAAGTCATTACAATGCGGTCGGCGGTAAAAAGTATTTGGTCGGCGGTAATTACACGACGGTCGGCGGTAAAAAGTATTTGGTCGGCGGTGGTCGGCGGTAAAAAGTACCACCGGTACATGTATGGGCCTAATTGAGAAGAGATATTGTCTCAGAGCTTCTGATTTGATCAAATTCTAGGGTAATTCCCCCAGACCTCACCCCAAACTTGACACTGTCTCCACTCCAGACACTTCCTGCTCATATTTCTGGAATATGACCCATAGAGTCTAATGATGGTTTGATATACTTGTTAAATTGTTGTGGCATGTATAACGTACAAGACAAGGGATGCTTACCCTATAGATAACACCTGATAACAGAGGTTACTAAGCTCACCTGTTCTAATCTTGTGTGTTTTATCACCTTAACATTATTTGAGTTCGTTGCAATCTATACTGAGTTGATTTGTTTAACGTCTTCAACATGACTGCAAAAGAAAGAAAGGTGAATGGGGTTTAATGTCAACTCGACACAAACTAGGTCATTTCGGGACTGACATATGATTCAATTTTATTTCAATAATTAGCGTAGGGGGTCTTTACTCCTTATCACGTACAATCGGGGAATCGAAACCAAACATGACTGCATCTTGTCACGCGAGTCCATCTGTATGTCTCAGGTGTTTTTTTGTGTTTTTTTCAGAAATGTATAAAAAGGGATCAGTGAACAGGCAAAGCCTATATCACCCCTCTCCTCAGTGTCTAGTCGTTTTAATGGTACGAAAAACCGAGGTCCCGGGTACACATTGGTGTGCACGGACAAGATCCCTTGACAGTTAGAATTAGATATAAGAGTAGATCATAGTGCAGCTGTCCGGGAATAATTTCCCTCATAGCCCGTCTTCATGAACCATGTTGATGCACAACACGTCGTTAAACCCCCATCTTATTCATTCATTCTGTATGTCCCAAGATCGCCATTATGCCTATATAGTATTTTTACCCCGCCAATCGACCGCCGACGAGTGGATATAGTGGCCATTGTTCTCGGGCCTACCTTCGTGGGTGGGATAGTGTGGGCCCCTAGAGAGTCTAACGTTAGCTTTATCCATGTTTGCTTATGCTGCTTGGTGAGACCTTGCCTACTACACGCACATCCACCCCCACGCCCCAAAACTCCCTCGACCCACAAACACCACACACACCTCTTCCCCCCAGCGCCATATAATAGACCATATTTGTGTTTATAGATTACAGAGAAAGCAACATGTTGTTGTGGGTTACAGTACTAATAGGATGCTTCACCTTAAAATGGTTCTTGGGGAGGTTAAAGATCAAGAATTATGGTGAAAAGTACGTCTTAGTAACCGGGTGTGATACAGGATTTGGAAATCTTTTAGCGAAAAGATTAGATCGTTTGGGATTTCAGGTTATTGCTGCCTGTTTGAAACAAGATGCTGCAGCTGAATTGAAGAAGACTTCATCCGAACGTCTACAGACACTTCAATTAGATGTTACGTCTGAAGATGATATCAAGTCTGCACTCACCAAGGTGAAATCAATTTTACCTTCAAATAAAGGTGAGCTTGAAAACTATAAGACTTGTTCTGAGGGAAGGGGACGGTTCACGTGCTAACATATATAAGAACTGTTCTTATGGGTCACTCGTTAATGCATATAGGAGTTGCTTTGGGGGTTACGAGCTGATCATCCTGTTTCGTTTCCCCAGTGGTTCCATTCCGTTTTTCTCCACTATACCCTGGGTTAATCTATAGGGTTTACACGATTTTAAATTATCTGTTCTGGCCTTGATCATAGCCTGAGCTACAGTTTACAAACAGCTAACAAACCAGTCTTACTAATGAAACGGCCTTCGTTTTTATAAGGGCAGATAACCCTATTCATGTATATTTACTGAATGATTTATGTAAATAATGTATATATTTCTAATTCATTTATATTTTATTGTATTATCAAATTCTGTATTTATGTTTCGCTGATTTCAAATATGTTATAACATCTAAAATGTTTCACTTGTATTATAATTATTACTATTCGTTCTTTGTCTAAAATGTTTCATAAGTCACTACCATTGTCGGGGGTTGGGGTGACCAAGTAATCTAGAGTGTCGCGCTTCCAGCTCTAGATGGCCGGTTACCTCTGGCTTGCAGTCGTGGCTTGGAGATAGGGTTTACTCCGGTTTCCTCCCATATGACAGAACCCTGTCCGTGCGCTAAGGTAATTAAAATATGACGACTTGCCTGTGATCATAGTAGGACGTTAAACCCCATTTCGTTTCGTTTTGCCTGTGATATCACCCTTGGTGGAAGAGGACGTTAAACACTCAGCACAACAATTTTTAAGTTGGATTGCGTTTTGCCCACGTATGTAGTATTGTAGCCTGATCCCTGAAGGTACCCTCGCTGATACTCTTAAAGGGGCGCCTTTGCGTTTTACTTACTTTATTAATCACTGATGACAGAGTTATTCCCCCAAACCCTGTCGTCGGATATTAACCGGCACTAAACTAAGACTCTTTGGCCTCGTTGTTTCCGTTCACAACAATGTGGCGGTCTGTTGCAACCCGATAAGAGTTACTTCCCCTGCGCCAACTTCCTTTGCAATTAACGACGTGTGGGTTTGGTCGATAAAAATAGCACCATCATTAAGGGCAGAATACGTGTCACCCCCCCCCCCCCCCCGAACAGAATGAGACCTTTGGGGATACCGAGGATAGGAGCTAATATATATATATATATATATATATATATATATATATATATATAGTAATTGTTGTAGGGGTAACACGCTAATATATATAGGAATTGTTCTAGTGGTTACGTGCTGATATATATATAAATTGTTCCAGGGTTACGAGCTATAGTAATATGGAATTGCTCTTGGGGTCACATGCTAATATATGTTGGAATTGTTGCAGGGACACGCGCTAATATTGAACCGATATAATGTTTTATATGTATGTAATTATAGGTCTATGGGCAGTTGTAAATAATGCCGGTGTAGGTGGCGCTATCGGACCTATCGAATGTTTAAACAGAAAAGACTACCTAGATTCACTGGCTGTTAATTTATTTGGCGTAATAGACGTCACTAAAATGTTTTTACCACTGATAAGAAAGGAAAAGGGAAGGGTAGTTAACATCGCCAGCATGCTTGGACGCATTGCTTTGACACCAGCACCGGCACCGTACTGTGTTGCAAAATATGGCGTAGAAGCTTTCTCAGATTGCCTACGGTACGTTATAACTTTTCTACGAGGAAGTAAGAGTCATGTCACAAACCAGGTCATTTCGGGACTACCATATGCTATATCAATGCAACAATTGTTCTTAATATATATTGGGTTTGTAGTGGTTCAATTTTATTTCATTAATTCGCTTACCCGTAGGGGTCTTTAGCAGTGGGAGAAACCGAAAGACTCGGAGAAAACCCACGAAGTTGGGCAGGCGATCCTACTCCTTGTCACGTACATTCAGGAAATCGATCTACGCCACTTGACAGACCTTATGATGCAGCGCGCACGCGTTAACCATTCGGCCACCCAACCCTCCAATTGGGGTTGAACGTTCTAATTTACTGTACTAACTGGGAAGATAAAGACGGACATACGCCATACAATGTGCTATGAGAGAATTTTGACCGGGCAGCAGCGCTACGGCCTACACCCTTTTCGAATTCCACGTGTTAAGCGTTCTTTTACGTGCACGCCAATGTGTACGATCGACCATCCGTCCTGCATCACTGACATAGAGAAATTAACACTGGGATTTAACCCGAGACCTCCTGATTAGCCAGCCATCGTCTTTACTCGCTGAGCAACCGCGGCTTCCAATCAGAATTTGGACTCTAGGCTGCCAACAGTGTTTTTAACATTCCGATTATCTTAAAGGAGCTAAATCGCTAACATTTGGGACCTAGAAATTGACAAAAGTGGGTCGCAACGCATATAATACTGTAATATGAATGTATATAAACTGATTTACATTCAATGGTTTCCGTTTTTACTCCAATTTCAAACCAGTTATGTTCGGCGAAATAAGCCAGCAGTCTCAAGCGAGTGTAAATTTCTAGCGTCTGGTTATTCCAGTCTACATACGCCGTTTGATTTGGTGCAATGTGTCTAGCCTCGTCCCTCGAGTCTCTTGATACATCTGGGGCTGAAGCGCATTATGGTACACGATTCGTGTACCAATGGTAAAATGTTTATTTTGTCTTAAATATTGGATATCAAAAGCCCATCTTTTTCCGGTAAGATCACAACATGAATGTTGATTTAATTTGACAAATAATTCGTGTTTTCGATGTTGAAGATTTTGGATGATATTGAGTTAGAGACTTAGCTACTTTAATATATATAACCACAAAGAGTCCAATATACCACAATCATCTGATGATAATATTAAAGGGGTTTGACCATTTCAATTTTTGAAAATTCCAGTGACCGTAATCTTTACAACGACAGAGAGCCTAAAATTATCATCTCATAAAATATTGAAGGCAAGTTAACCACCTTGATTACCGCCTGATTCTTCACCAAAATTGGACGGAAATTGAAAATTTGAATACCATATAGACAATAGAAAATAAAGTCAACAACAAATGCCATGCAAAATGTAAAATTAAACCAGCGAAAAATAGTTTTGCAATCTGATTAAAATACAGATCTATATTTCGTTTCGTTTTTATATACTTTTGATGGCCTCTACTACATGACGATCTGACTGATCGTGGGTGGGGAGGGGCGACCAGGGGTCATACTTACAATCTTTGACGTTATGATTTCAGTTATTCGATTAACCAATCAGCTTCGGTGTTAAAAACGAATTTTCAGAAAAACACCTTTGGGCTTGTTTTGTGTTCTATCGCTGCGAATGTCTACACACGGTTTCGCGCAGCGCATGTAAGGATCTCGACGCAACAGATCATGTGTGATTGCCTTATCCCTCGCATCACCCAGAACGCGATGTATTTAACAATTCTTCCAGATCCTGGTATAATGATAACAAATAAAAGAAAATTTGAAACTATAAAAAACGAAACGAAATAGGATCTATATTTTAATCAGATTGGTAGTTTTTATGTTTATTTTGGGTTTAACTGATTGTCGAATTTACACCGGGGCCTGTGGCATTGGGATCTAGGGAGCCTCTCGCCAACGTGTATACCATGTTCTACCTTGTTAAAAGCCATTCCTGTAGTCTTAAACATTCGTCGGCATCCTCGACTTTGATTAACATTTTTTAAAACAGACTTTTACCCCCTCTAGGTGTGCGTAAGTGTGTGTGTGTTGGGGGGGGGGGCTGGTAACTGGAATCCGACACTAGTTCGCACCCCCCCCCCCCCGCCTCTGTTTCATTGACACCTTTACCCTGACGTTTTTTTTTTGTAAATATTGTTTCAGACGAGAGGTGTATCACCAAGGAATAAAGGTCAGTATCTTGGAACCGGGATATTTTAACACAGAGATAATCAACACCCAGCAGGTTCATAAAAGGTTTCAAGAAGCCTTTAATCAAGGAGATTCTGATTTCCAGCAATATTACGGACAGGAGTTTATTGATCAAAGTATGTTTTATTTAAATTGTGGGTTTATCCGGGTCCTCCAGTTTTCCCCACTTCTAAGGACCCCTGCGTGCAATTGAATTGTTGAAATAAACAATGGTTATTCGGCTAATGTTCACGATACCATGGACCGTGTATAGATGGACAGGCAACGTCCACGAACCCTTTAGAATTCTGTTCCGCGGCAAAAAATAGACCGGACAATCGTGACTAAAATAAAATTACCTTCCCTCGCGCAATTACCAGTATTAAGTTTAAAAGCAAAGAAACAGAAATCAATTCATAATATTTTTATTAATCTTCCTACTCTTTTTTTTTTGAAATCCATACATAGATAGACTACTAACTGATGTTGGGATGTAAATGTATCAACACATCGTCTTTGTTTACTCCGGACGCGCCCATGTGAATACGAAAGAAAACCATGTCGAGTTTTCGTTAAAAACAAACCTACTAAAACACTATTTTAATTTTTACTTCTGCACAATTAATAATCATTCCGAACAGTATTATACCTGAACTTTATTTTCATAATTTTAAAATCCTTCATACATGCGGGAATTTGGAGTATTAAGCAAAACTAAAATGCTTACAAAAACTACGAAAATATTGAAATCGATTATTTCACAATTATTTTCAACTGCTGCATTTGGAAATTTCAAAATTCTAAACTGGAGAAATTTGTCACTACCGGATAGGAATACTTATCGGGTTGAAAAATTACCGTGTAACTATAAGAATACCGTAAATTCTAAGGAGGAGTTCGAGAAATTAATCAGTATAAAATCCCGCAATGTCAAAAATCACATCGCTTAATTTACCGTTGACATTGAGATCTCGTCGTGTCTCGCGCGAGCGGCAGAGAAACAAATCAACGGGACACGTTGCCTGTCCATCTATATACAGTCCATGACGATACCGTGGGTACGATACGGCTATTATGTTGGTTCAACCTTTCACCTTGAGCGTCGGCTTAGTGTAAACGTTTAAAAATTTCAGTATGTGCAGCTGGTTTATTTGATACTTACTTTTATAGTATTTTGTATAACGACAGTCTGCTCGATCACTGTATTCCGCGGGTTAGGGTGCTTCAACCGTCTGTTGGTCTTTAGACCTTGCCCGTTGACCTTGACAAAACGCCTAAAACACATGTGATATAGAGCGGAATAATGAAATGTAGTGCTCCGACTAGGCTAATGAAGACAGGCCACTTTTCCCGGAACGGAGTGCTACGACCTAATCTTGACCGTTGATCTTCACAAAACGTCTTAAATCTTTACTGTGTCAGACTGTTTTTTTTTAAACACAATCATGTTGCACAGAACGGAATAGTTAATGGAATGCCCCGACAAGACCTAGGAAGGCGCCATACAGTGTGCTATGATGGCAATTTTGCCCGGAACGGCGCGCTACGGCCTAATCGTGACCGTTGACTTTGACAAAATGTCTAAAACCTTTACTGTGTCCGTCTGTTTCTTTTGATACCCATGTTGTATAGTATGGAATAGTGAAATCGAATGCTCCGACTATACTAATAATGAAGACGGACATACGCCATACCCCATGTTCCTGAAGCAACGACTGCGAGTTTCATAACATCTGGCCGTTGCTTGTTTACTTCACAATTCCCGAACTTATAGCTATGTTATCTACAGACACGTGAGCAGTAGCGTCCAATCAGAGGTTGTGACATCGCGACCTCCACAGAAACCTTGACATTGAATGAACCTTCTTTGCAACTCGATCATCATAGGTAGACATTTTCGCCGATCGAGGAATCTGATTGGCTCACAAGTTGGGTTTGTACCCAATCGAAATTAGTGCCGCAATATGCAGGGTATTACGTGAAGGCCTTGATAAGATGTACGTAGTTAAAGCGAGATCAAGCCTTCTATTGAAGATGGCCATACCCATGAACACGGGTCATCCAGCTTAACAAGCAACCAGCGGTCTAGGAAGACCCTCTCGGTTTTTCTCGTCCAATACCCTTGGGCATAGGGACATCTGGAATCGATCCCATGTTTATACATGACGTCACAAAGGGTCGCATGCCTAAAGCTGTGGATTCTACCCGGGTCCTCCTGCTCAGGGCTAAATTAGCCAATAAAGGGCCAACCCCGAAAATAATTTTGTGTTAAAATCCCTTAAAATCCTCTACCTAATGTCCGAGCAACTAACTCAATATGTGTGATACGTTTTCAAACAACTTAAACCCGTCAGTCTTCATCTGGAAATGGAGACCGGTGTCCCAAGCTGTATTATACGGTGTCTGGATAAAACCAGACTTTTATTTTATAAAAATAATGTGTAGGTGATATTTACCTTTTCGTTGTCAAGTATAGCACATGGGTCATTGACTGTATAGACTTCTAAAAGAACAGCAATAGATTATCAGGTCACCCAACGAAAAACATTAACCCGAAATCTTAAACAGGTTTTGTTAGGTGACGAATTTAGAAATTAATTAAGAACTTTTATTCAATGTGCCTCCTGCTTGACACGTGGTTACATAATCTCTAATAATAACCCATGTATGTATTTTCAGCTACGATGTTGATTAACAAACTGCCGGAGACATCATCTAATAAATTATTCAAAGTAATCGATGCTTACGAGCACGCTATTACTGCCAGATACCCGAAACCCAGATACATCGTTGGAAAAGATGCTAAATATTTCGTCAGGTTGTTATGGACTATCCCAGAATGGGTGTCGGATTTTGTTATTTGTTTAAACTCGCCTCGGCCTCAGGGATCACGATAGGCCACGTCAATGAACGTGTCAAAGAGCGAAGATGGCCACCCGCTCTTGACAACAATAAGACTGAATATTTACGATTTTGTAAAACTTCTCCGAGGTCATTAAAATTGCAGTCTGACGACATAATTACTGTCTGAACCTTGCTATTTTATAAACGGATTTCTTCGATTATGAACAAACTATTTAACTTTGGTTATTATAAACTTACCTGTGTGTTTGAAATCAACTCCGGTTAAATAAAATCCATTGCACAATTAAATATCCCCAAGGAATAAAAAAGTTCTCTCTTGAAAAATTTGACGTGTTTACTTATATTTTCTACAAAGTGGAAGACAACATGGCTTTCGTCACGTGTTGAACGAAACCATTAAAGTTGTTGTGGGGTGTTTAGTTTTGACAGCGAGTTTGACAACCACGTGTTGCTATGAAAACAAACCGCGTTTCGATCGTTTGAGTTTGGGCGACGAAAAATTTTAACTAAAGGCAATTACATAGAAGATATATATTGAAACCATTAATGGCCAGTCTACCAAATTTTATTCACAATGAAAATATCAATGATTGTACGGATACTCGTAAAAATAAAGTCGTATTTAAACTAAACCTTCCCTATCTTCTTTATACATGTATTATAAATAATTTAAGAAACAACATGAAGCTCACGACCGAAGTTTCCGAGTGCATCGTTAACTTAATATCATTCTTTCGAGGAAACGATAACTGTTTCAGCAACATATACAAGCGTGTTGCGACAGCCCTGAATGTGCCAATTCTGTGGGTGTATAATGCCAAAAAACCTATAAGACCTCGTAAGAAGCGTACATTTACTTCCAGATTCGACAGTTTTGACCGAAGCGTAATTAGGGAGACTATCCACAGTCTGTATAGAAAGGGCCAATATGTAAGTACAATTATACTCTAGATTCCAGACACTTTATATTATCAATTTTGTGTTGCGTGTAGTGAGGTCCTCCTGCACACTTACTATTGAAGGCGTTAAAGTTTTCCATAAAATTTAAAATTGAATACGCGAATAATAATTCACAATTGATCCATTTCAATCAATATTCATGTTGTTATCTTGACGTGAAAATATGCGGTATACTCTCTAATAGTAAAGACAAGCATAAGGAACAATTTATAATCACGTCACGAGTTGTGTATTCTTATTATTTCAAAATCCAATTCATTTAGTTCAAGGTCTATTGGAATATATATGTTATTTCACATAATTATATTTTTGAAAGTTTGATTCAACACTGCTTATGGTTTCATTTTTCAAATTTTATACAGTTCTCAACCAGACGACTGTGTTCTGTTGTGGAACAGAAAGACATTATAATTTCGCAAACCCACCTGCAATTGATATTAAAAGAAATTGGATTTAAATTTTACAATTCCCACGGCAAGAGATTTGCGAAAGAAACAACAGAGATTGTGACAGCCAGACATAATTATTTGAGAAATGTAGCCAAATACAGGTATTATTGACTTCCCACTTACTGGGTAAATGATGAATAAAAAAAATAATACTTGCTTAAACAGGTAAACGATCCAACCTGAAAGTCGTTTTGTGCACAAATGTTAAAAAAGAAAGTTTTTTGATAAGAATCTTAGATTTGAGTTTTTGTGTTTTAATGGGGTTTTTTATTATAAAGATGAAGGATATGAAAGTGTTTACCTTGACGAGACCTGGCTTAATGCTAATCATTGTAACCATGGCGTTTGGACGGAAAGTCGAAAAGGTAAAACAAAGGTTTATTTTAAATGCAAAATATATTCTGAGTTTATTATTCGAACATTATTTGAATTATGAATATGATTTTTTAAATTGTATTGTTCCAGGTCCCATTGGCGTATTATGTCCGGATTGTTCGGACTGTGGACGATGCATTCCTGCAGGAAAGGGCAGTCGCCTTATAATTTTAAACGCGGGATCTTCGACCAGGGGATTTATCCCAGAAGTAGGGAGGGTGTTTCGGTCGAAAGCAAAATCGCCCGACTAACCTGATGAGATGAATTGGAAGTAAGCAGATTTTCAATTGTTATTTGCATTTAATCAGACATTCGAAAAGTAGCCCTAAAATTTTGTATTCTCAATCACATTACATTTCCTAAACACACGTTTTGTTAAAGAGTAGCTTTTATAAATTTGTATTATGTTGATTTCATTTTAATTTCAGATATTTCATTGACTGGTTTGGTAACACATTATTGCCTTCACTTCCAGAACCGGCTTTGATTATTTTAGATAACGCGCCATTATACAATATTAAATCATCCTCATCATGTCACCCCAAAACTACCAACAAAAAATGTGAAATCGTCCAGTGGCTCACCGATAAGGGAGTAGAATTTAGTCCATCTAAAACAAAGGTAGATATCCCTTTTAATTACGTTGTAATGGGTAGTTTCATTTTAAATAGAAAACATGTTAAAAACCGATTGTGTTTATACCAAGTCGTGACAGAATTGGGGAATACGTTTTAAATATTAGAGTTAAACTTATTTTATATTTTTTTCACAGGCAGCACTATTAAAGCGAGTGGCGTTACATAAACTAAAGCAGGAGCATGAAACTGACCGATTGGCTAATTTTAACGGCAACCTGGCCCCGAGTTCGCAAAGCGAGAGAGAGATGTGGTTTAACGTCCACTCGACACAAACTAGGTCATTTCGGGACTAACATGTGGTTTAATTTTATTTCAATAATTCGCCTGCGCATAGGGGTCTTTAGCAGTGGGAGGAAACCGGAGGACCCGGAGAAAACCCACGAGGTTGAACAGGCGACCCTACTCCTTGTCACGTACAACCGGGGATTTGAAACCACGCTAGTCGGCTCAATGGCAGACTTTATGATACAGCGCGCGCACGCTAACTATTCAGCCATCCAACCCCCAGTTCGCAAAGCATTCTCAGACTTAAGTTAAGAATTTACTCAAAATTGTTCGCCTTATTTTAACTAATGTATAGCCCATTATAAAACTTCTGTTGTTTTAATGTAGCAAATACATCAATAAGAAACTATGTGAAAAGCCTTGTGTTTCTGGACCAAAGATATTTCTCATAAACAGTGATTGAAAGTTGAGTAAATTCTTAACTTAAGTCTGATTTGTGACCTCGGGGCCTGGTCTTAAGACCTAATCAAGGTGACTTTTTTAATTTAAAGAAATATTACCGTTATCAATCGCCCAAAATTACCATCAGATAGACTCGACAAGCTATAAAAAAAATCCACCCACATGCTAACATAAAGTAAAACATTTTCGTTAGCCTTTTTGCAACTTAGGTCTCGGTGCTTCCTTTTGAGCAATATGAATACCTTGCAGATAAACATATTGTGAAGATATTTCTCTGATAGGAATGTCGCTTCAAAATGTGTTACGTTTAGTTCAGTATTTACAAAGATATGTGGAATTGAACGAAGCTAAGACCGGCGCCATTCTGTTTTCGGCGAACAGAAATTGGAGTCCTTTTTTTAAAAACAAATCCTATTGAATCCAAATCGAGTTTTTAATTTTGATTTAGGTTTTCTTTATTAAATGTTAAATAATCAGGCCGGGCACATAGCGTGGATTAAGGCGTGAAAAATTTGATATTTGTAAACGACGCATCGTTAATATAAAACAATCTACAGATTTATCAATGTAAATATGTTCGATTTAAGAGGTTATCGAACGTAAATTGTCCATTTTCGTATTATATTATGTTTATAAAATATCGTTTGGAAGTAACGAAAAAGTGCGTATTGTGTATTATATTTCTTTTGTGGTTTTTTTTTTTTAGCCCAAGAAAAAGACTATGTCGCCAGTCACAACAACACCTTTAAAATTGCAGATGTCGAAACTCTCTACAAAGAGGCCAAAAAAAGGGTTACCCAGGGGGAGTGGGAAAGGGCCTGTTTGCACGTCATCAATGAAGTGGAAAACAAATTTAGAGAGATTGATGGCGTGCAACAGGAACTTTCGCCAATAATAATTTACTTTGGCGAATCTGAAAGTGAGAATGGGCGTGAAACTGAACGTGATATGGATGTCGGTGTGGAGAATGTTGGTACGGGAAAGAGTGCGTTGACTGGGGATAAGAATGACAGTGTGACAAAGATGGATGAGAGTATAGTGCTTGATGTGGTTGGGGATGCAAGGTATAATGTGGCTGAATGTGTTGATGATAGTGTGTGTAAGGTATGCGGTGCTGCGGAACCACTACTGGGTGATTCTGATAAGGATGTGGAATGGGTGTGTTGTGATTTGTGTGATGAGTGGTTGCATGTCGTGTGTATTGGCGAGAGACTGGAAAAAGGTGCAATATATTTTTATTGTTCATACTGTAAATATATACTTTATCATTAACTACCTTTTTTTAATTTATTGTAAATGCTTATCACACCATCATCCGATAATTGTAAATACCATATACGTATATGCTAAATCAAATATATCATTTTATATATCATATAAAAGATATTCATGGGTACAATTTAACGCCTGTTAAACGAATGTCGTTGTTTTTTTGCCGCATTTATGTTTCAAAGAAAATTCTCCCATTCGACTAATCGGTCCGAGCTACCCCTATACCCCAAATTTCAGACTCGGGGCAGACCTAGTGTAGCCGCCAACCCCGAACAGACCGGCTTCGCTCGGGGGTCATAACTCCGAAACCGGAAGTGGTAGACTAACGCCACCTGGCCTATGTTACTCCCCGGTCCGAGCTTCCCCGATACCCCAAATTTCAGATTCGGGGCAGACCTAGTGTAGCCGCCAACCCCGAACAGACAGACAGACAAACAACAGTCACAAATATATATATAGAAGATATACGTATAAATATGAATTTTTACTACGAACCTCTGCCTAAAAACAAACGTGTTTTAACTGTCGCGAAGTCTAAACCGCGTGGTTATAATCGTCAACTATATTCTAGTTTTATTAAAGACCAATTCATTTCAACACCGATAGTAGCTTGGACAGATACTGATGGTAAATTTACTACTCCAGTGACACCTGAAAATATTCTTAATGGAAATAAACTGCGCGTAAAAGGAATGGACACGTTTCAGAATAATTGGGTACAAGGTTGGGACAAGCTAGGTGAAAAAATGATCGGGAAGCCAATGCCGTCAGACTTTATGACCTATTTTCCTGTGTATATCTGGAGAGACACAATAACCAATTGTAGAAATCATATCTTAAAATATGTCAACGTTTCCACGATAGAAGAAGCTTATATTCGAGTAGGATCACAAGATGTTGGAGTTATGAGCCCAGTAAATATTGTTATGACATATGCCTATTATTTTGAAAAGGAGAGATATGATTGGCATATTGATATTGGAAATGTAGATTTACAGAAATACAACAAACTTCATCTGATCCCAGGTCACGAATTAGCTTATTGTACAGCGGTTAATAACACGGTATTCAACATGCAACAAGATATAAAACAAATGTGTGAACCATTTAAAACAAATGTAATGTGGGCATTGTTTGAATTCTGTAATACAATAAAACAAGAACACCTCACTACGTGGTGTAAAAATAAAAATAAACATTGCAGCTCTATGATAAAGGAACATTATGATAA